CAATTATTAACATAACAACACGTAAGGTACACTACAGAAGTGACCAAACTTTCCAACTGTCAAAAATTCAACCAAACTTTGATGTTTTGGCCTGCACGTAATGATATCAAATTGCACTTTATTAAAAAATAATAGCGAACATGTACACCTACAACTGTCCATGTACATGTACAATATCCAAATAAAAGGGGAGTTGCTGACACTTTTTTCATTGTTTACAATGCACGTGATACATGTACATAAATGTACATGTACACATGATATTCATGATACTAGGCTGGTACATTTGTATACTGATATTGATCAAATACATGAACAGCAACAAATGAATACATGTATGTACTGTACAATGTACGTCCCTGATTGTAGAAAAACAAGTTGATGTATGTACATGTACCTCTATTTCCCTCATATCCTCCTTTTGTTTGGACAAGAAAAATAAAGAAAACAAATAGATCTTATAGGATCCAATGATTCAAGCGAGTGAAAAAAGGCTGGTACCGGCACTGCAATTTAGAAAAACAAAAACAAACGTTCAAATTGACCTTCAGTTTACACTGGGGACATTTATAGTGAGGATTTAAGAATCATATTTCCCAGAAAAATATGGCACAAATATGTAAAAGTTATTATTTGTGTTCAAGTTTTGAAAACTGCCACACATTACACACAATACATGTACACCTGTAAGTGACCGAAATGACAAATACATACTATGCACAACACAATTATCTGGCCCCTTTTAAGAGTTCAGGAATCTCACGAATAACAAGAATAAGGGTCAATTGTAAACAGAAGTTCACAATGAACAGATGATGGTTTCTTCACACGTTTTCAAGATTATTAAAACTTTTTCTTCTTCAAGACCTTTTTAACCTACATTTTGGGCGGAACTTTAGCATTTAATAAAAGTTAAAATTTTATTCACTTACAAAATGTACACACTGTGGCGTTTGAACAGTGTTAGTATCAGGTGTGTGCGTTACTTTGATGCCAATGCAGAAAATGGCTATTATAGCGTGTTGAAATAATATTGGCTGGAGCTTCAGCATCATAATTTAGTCTCCTAACTTGACGGTATCAACTTCAAGAACATGATTTTCTGCTATAGAGACACTGAATCCTGCCACGCGAGGCCAATAACTGGTCTTCATTGGGTTATACATGTAGAACAACACAGGTACTTGTGGCAGGATTCTTACGGGAGATGAAGCTGAACTGATAATGAAGCCAAGATTTCAGAAACACCAAGGTGCAGTCTTTACACTTTAAACAATTCAGCTTCACATTTGCAGTCAATGTGTGTTGGACAATTTGCACCCAGTGCAACGCCCACTGAACAGTGAACCATGCTAGAGAATGGTTCATCATCAATCAAATTAGACAGCGCTTGATTTAATGAACAACTACTCGGATCTAATTAAATTCCACGTCTACCATGAAAGACGGCAAAGTTTGCCTGCCAGGATCTCTAATCAAATTCGTCCATGTGTAAAACTGCATTTATTAATATATTTTTTTTCAAGAGGAATAGTGTTGAAACTTACATGTAGAAGGTGAAATGAAAGGGAAATTTAAATGTAGCACAATGAGGTTTGAGCTGAAACATGGAAGGTTTTGAATTCCTTCACTGATTTTAATACACTAGAATAGAGGTGGAAAATAGTTCTGCTTCCGGTTTCCCTACCTACGTGTACCCTATTTTGACAGCCCCTAGCCCAATTTTTTATGGAAAAAAATGAGAAAAAAACAACCAAAACCTAAAAAATTTGGGTAGGGGCTGTCAGGATAGGGTACATAGGTCCCGGTAGGGAAACCGGAAGCAGAACTATTTTTTTTGGCCTTAGCACGACATATTTGCATAATTGGCTCAGAACTTCTGACAATTTATCAAATGTCCACTTACAAAATGTATGTACCTTGGAAACGAAAGAGAAGAATATAAGCAGCTTGTGCAGTTTCATAGAGTTCTTAATTAAAGCATCCAAAAAGGAAACCAATTGATGCAAATATACAGGGTTTTTTTTCTGTGAATGCAATGAATGCAACACCTGTCACAACCACCATTACATGTACTTACGTACCGGTAAGTTTACAATATACGGTAGTATCACAATATTGACCTCAGTATGTACAATGTACGGTAATAAAACAAAACAAACTGAAACAAATAAGTTGGGAGTTTCACTAAATTAGTATACATGTACATGTACACGTAGTTTTAATATTTTAATCTTGTGGAATTTTTTTTTAAGTAGGGCCTATGGTAAATGTATTTCAGTTTCTTTAGCCATTTGCAGCAAATCCATCACTTCTCACAGCTACTATGCCTTATTAGTTTATTTTGAATCTAATGGACATTTTTAAAATAAAAAACCCCAAAATGGAATCTGAACACTTAGGCAGCATATTAAAATGTGACAACACTACACTGTCAATTTGTACACACATCCCATACCGGTTGTGGAAATTACAAAATCACTGTATAAAAAATAAAATCATCCGTGTAAAATTGACAGCACATACAGTCGTGATAATGTGCGTACAATTTTTCCCAAACAAAAATTATGTGAAAATGAAACAAGTAACAAAACAACAAAGATAACTTGGTAATAATTAACCAAATTCAGATTAAAAAAAATGGGAAATATATCAATTTTCCCTGAGCAAGTGAAATTTATGTAAATTGACATCATACAATTCTGCCTGTGCAATTTAAAAACAGATTGTTCACTTCATATTGTGCAAGGTTTTTCTCATATAACACGAACGGAACAGGTGCTGAAGTGAATCCAATCACATAAAATATTCAAACTTCAAATCAAATATTCAACATTTCAGACAGTGAAGGCATTTTTTCCTATCATGCAATATTAACCCACATTCACACACAGGATGCTTCGTAACAAAATGAGACAAACAACGCAGAAACATAAAATTGCAGACTCTACCTTTTCCATTCATTTGTTCACTCCTTCAGAGTTGCCCAGACTTATCCTCCGTGTATTGTTTTCGGCCAAACGATTCAACCATATGGCCGTTTCGCGGCCACTTGCTCCGATCTAACGCAGCGCTCCACCAACTGTTGTATGTGAGCAACGCAGTCAACAACAGAAACCACTCAGCACAGACACACGTACATGTACATTGTAGTGTACTGAGGGTGGTAGCGTTTACTGTGTATTGTAGTTAAGCCACGTTGATTGTGGCTGTACCTGCAACACACGCACACAGACACCCACACGCACACCGACAGGGAAGTGACAGCTGTGACAGCGATACTCCCTTGGCTGTGTACGTTGTAACATCTCATCATATGTGTAATATTCAAGTGTATGCATTCAATACAATATAATTGTGGTGTGAGTGTCGCGTTGGGAAAATATCACTATTAAAGATGATAGCATTTGGCTACATAATGCTTAAATGGGAAGACTACATGTGTACATCTAGAGCTTCCTGTAGGGAGAAAGGGTTACTCGGCTTGCAGCGATATCCATTGAGTAATGAGTAGCATGAAATTCAACAAAATAATTTCTCTGAAAATCATTACTACTGGTTCATTCTATAAATTTGGGGTCCACTTTTGTTTTTGTGTCCTTGTTACATCGGTCAGTATGATTTAGAATGCACTCCTTAAATTGCAGTCCTCTTCCAAGATTATGAACAGCAAACTACCCGGTACCTCCCCCCCCCAAAAAAAAAAAACACCCCAATCTTTTGAAGTTATTCTTAATGATGTACCCCAGTGCACTACTGCATTGTACATATTTTACTGTTTTTAATGTTAATTATCTATTACCAGAGTACGGTACACCCAAAGCAAATATGGCATGATGCAATTTCTTGAAAATGTGTGATTCTTTTTTCTTTAAGGTCTGCACTTGAACTAATCGATCAGATAAAATACTTTTGATTTGTTGTTAAAAAGACAAGTTTAAGAATGCTGGTCCAGGACGGGCCCTTGATTCAGCCTACGGTACCGGTACACGTACCGTACTGGTGAAAGTCTGCAGAAACATCCTGAGAAAGCAAATCTCTTTCGTGAGTTTGGTTGTTTATAAGAAGACCCTGCAGACACTCATTGTTCCAGCAAGAGACAGTGTTGCCCAGGTCACAAGAAAATGAAATACATGAAGCCGCTTTTATTAAGTCACTAACATGACTAACGATTTTGTAACTCTACAAAATTAAAAGTCCAACATTCCTATATTCCTCCATTTTAAAGTACAGCACAGGTCTGCATATTGTATCCTGTTGTGGCGGGGTGTGGCCTAGTGGTTAGGATTTGTGACTCAGGATCAGAGGGTCAGGGGTTCGAATCCAGCCACTGGCCATATGTTGAGTCCTTGGGCAAGCCACTTCATCCCCACTTGCCTCTCTCCACCCAGGAGTATAAATGGGTACGGCACTTGCTGGGAAGTACATGTACCCTACTGCGATGGACTAGCATCCCATCCAGGGGGAATAGAAATAATCTCAATCATTTCATGCTATTGAAACTGGAGATAAATGCCGGCCTGATGGGCCACAATGACTTGTAACAGACTTTATTTTTCTAAACCAATCCCGCTGACACTAAATGTGTTATGTTTCTTCCTACATTGTGTACAGCTTTGAAGTTTTCAAGTCAAAGCAGACAACTAATAGAGTATGCCAATATTAAGACAACAGACACTCCAAGAAATTCATACCCTGCTGTCTCAAAAATGAAATCATTATAAAAGGGCTTCATGAAGAAGCATACAATGGCCAATTAGCAAGACGATCATCCACGCTAGGAATATACACAGTGGCAAGATCTAAGTTGGAAACCGCGTTTCATCCCTTGCGGTCATGAGTGTTGTGAACTTGGATGGACAGCTCTTTGCAGTCACACAAAGAACAATGTGAGTTGTATCTGCTTTCCTGATTCATAAGAAAAACAAATCTAGGACGAGCTTAAAACAACGCAAGACAAACAAGTCAAGAAATTTGAAAAAAAGGAGTATTTTACGTACCTTGACTGTCCATGTTTTTTCCCTACAATATGAAATGTCAGGTCTCAGGAATGTTATGCTCTGCCTATTATAATCATATAGCAAGCTGATACAGTATTGTCTTCACGTTCAGTACGGACAATTTACAACTAATTGTGCCACATCCTAAATTACAAGTATTTTGTATGGAGCGAGCCAGCTGCTGCCCAGACCACTAATGACTCAAACTCATATTGTTACTCATATCCACAACACGTGTGCCCTGTCTTCCTTCAAAAACTGACTTTTCCTGTGTGTAGACTCCGCTCAAGTCTGTAGCCATTCTATCACGATTAGAGGATCAAAACACTGTAGTCAAGTCCATCACAAGTCCTCCAGTCTGAAGTCTAGTCACAAGCTATTCAAATAACTGTGACGAAAGCAGTCTTTTGTACAGTACTTGTTCCTACCTTATTGCTTGTGACTGGACTGAAAGGACTTATCGGTATATTACTTTGACCAGACTTGTAATAACACTGAGGGCTGGGGCAGCAACATGAGGTTTTATTGACGAGTGAAATTATTCCAAGATTTCAAATTGTTACAATGTACTGAAATTGATGTGCTGTTGATCAAAAACACACGTGCATTTCTTTACATGCCATGAAAGCTGTACAAAACTTATGAGAAGTTTGTGGATACATCGTGTAAGAAATTTAGGCAGGTGTGAATTAGTGGTGTACACACCTGACAATGAGTTACCATCATTCATTTAAACAGGGGACATTGCAACGTGTGTCATGCAAACTTCTCCACACTTGTACTGGTACATTGTATACGTGTACGTACAATGTACTATAAAATAACGGCCAAGCAAAGCCTCAATTTGTCTTATTTCTGAACTTCCTTGGGTTAAAATGTGACTTTTTTAAAATCCAATTTCTCTCCGGCGGTGTACATGTTCAGTGACATTCTTTTTTTTTCAGGCTGCAATACTGTACCGGTAGGTATTCCCATAACATAACCACTGGGAAACTACATGTAGTAAACAGTAACTGTGGCTTGTTGAGCTTGTGGCTAAATCATGCTTTGAGTGATTCATTGTGCATACAGGATTGATAATTCTGGCTACGCTACACAGCATCGGCAGGGAAGTGGTGAATTTCCTAGCTGATAACTAGGTCTTCCTGAAGAACTACGGTACAAGTTACATGTACCTGCTTAGACGTCATTAGTGTGCAGTTGCATGGGATCATACATGTATGGTTCAAGGATCTACATGTACATACAGGTGTTCAAATACTAGGCCTACCTGGACGATACAACAATGCTGCACCAAGCTAGCCAGGTGTGTACATTGTAAATTATGTATGTTACACTCCAACTTTACCATTGGTCCCAACTTAAGTTGGGACGGGCCCAACTTAAGTTTTGTCCATCCCAACTTAATAAGTGTTCCAGTTGGGCCAGTCCAACTAGGGCTAAGTCTGTCAGTCAGTCACAAATGCTGCAAAGTGCCACTCAAGTGCTGGAGAATCTACCGGTATTAACTTGTTGTTGGCCTAAGTTTACTTTTTTTTGGCGACATGTACGGTAGGGCCTATAGGCCTAAACTGGCAAATAGCCATTTTATTTTCATTATAAATTCTGCCATGAAAACTAAAACATAGGGCAACTAAATTGGTATTGTCCAACTGGAACAGTTTATTTGGGACAGTCTCAACTTAAGTTGGGACTGATGGTGGCATCATGGAAGTGACTATATATTGCAGGAACAGTACATGGACGTACAATATCTTCTTGCAAAAAGGCTGGAATTTTTCAAGCTGATGTACAATGTACATATACATTATAATGTACATTGTACTTGTTTTTCAAATCCTGGTTTCAGAGCTAGCTATAAGAAGATGTCAATTGTTTGCCGACAGCAAAGAACAATTTGCATCGTCACGATTCTTTTCACCCACGGGACCTGTATATCCACTCGTCAATGTCTCAAACAAAGCCTGCCTGGCAAACATATTGAATTACGCCGTCTTAATCATGATCTCCCAGCATTTGTTACCATGGTTACCGTGGCAATCTCAAGACTAATTTTTCTAAGCTTTCTGCAGCAGAGTTCCCTTTGGGATCTGGGTGATTATTCTGCGGTTAAGACGAGATGGGAATACCGGTATCAATCACTCTCGAATTATGCCATTATAACAAAAACAATGTGTGAACATATCTGCTGCGTAGCACTGTGTACAGCATGGACACTTAATAGTAAATGTGGAACATTGCTTACACGTACATGTAGGTCAAAACAAAAATGAGTTCTGCTTCTGATTACATGGCAATTAATAGGGTAGGTAGGTAGGCAATTTTATTTTTTTGGCTAATTTTGTTTGTGTATAAACATACGGCGGCGTCTGGGTGTAGTCAAGGGTACAAGGTATAAATGGGGGTTTTGGATGTTTTTGTCTCATTTCCCCTCCCCCCCCAAAAAAAAAATTAGGGTAGGGGCTGTCAGAATAGGGTAGGTTTCATAACATGTGGTATAATGCTGATTGAAATTCAAGTTCCACCTTTATTTATAACAAGCTGAATCTGGAAATGCTGCATTTGAGTTTAAAAGCATTGAATAGGCATTGCAGTTGGTGACATCACAGGTGAGATAGAGTGCCCAAGTAAAATTTACACCCTTTCACTTAATTGATTGTACATTTTTTTTAATGGATCTAAGGACCCAAATGGAATGGGGTAAAAAGGACTCTTGTGGATTGAGAAATAGTCAGGCTAATTTCATAGAAAAAAATATTAAAACATTTTTATTACAATGTATTTGTTTTCTGAAAGTTGCACTTTTTTTGCACACTCTGAATTTGGTACAGAACAAAATATGTGTAGCATACAATGCATATACATGTACATGTACAGTGGGTTTGACTTGTGATGCCATGACTGGCAATGCCCACACTAAAGAGGGCAGCATTGAACATATATGGTCAAAGAGTGAAGTACCTGCACATACATACAAATGTATACATGTACTGTATGTTTATGATCAGAATAGTTCATATTGACACAAATTCATTTGTATACTATGTATATACATGCAACCCTAACTCCCTACTGTCTTTTACTAATTAGTACTGGACCAAGTCCACCAAAATCCATCAATCACACTGCTTCCAATCATTCAAATCATGGAGGAAGGGTCTGTTTTCCTTCCTCCAAGTTCCAATGCATGCTTTCATTTAGGCCAAATAAAACATGTTTAGCGTCCTGCCTTTTTGAAAAAAGGAAGCGAGAGGCCCTTTTTTCCCCTCCAAAATGGCCGCCCAAGCAGGCTATTTTTCAAGATGGCTGCCATTTGACTCAGGAAATGACATACCACCTTTATCCATGTATGGGCTAGGTGCAACAGAGTGAACAGACAAAGATGCCAAAATGTCACTATTTAAAATTTATAATTTTTTCGGGGGGAAAAAAAGATTTAAAAACAAGGAGTTGTTTAGCTTATGATGTATTTTTTCCAAAACAGACTGAATATTCAAATATTCAAAACTTGTTGATCAAGTTTGACAGGCGCCAGCTACAACTGTGCCAGTCAAAAGTTGCACGGAGGGCTGCTGGAGTGTTTTGCAGTATTTAAGTACAAAATGTAACTGCTACAACTACAAGGATGGGAACAATGAACCACCGTCGACAAAAGTTTACCGTTGACAAAAAGTGGCAACTGACAATAAAGCACCGCAACTTTACGATAAATAACATTACAGTTGTGCTTGTACATGTACATGCTAAATTTTTTTCCCCAAATATTTGAACCAACCAAAAGCTATTTGAAATTTGAATATGCGGTTGATGATTGAATCTTCACATACCGGTATCACTATCACTACACAGCTCAAAAAGGTCAGATAGGCCGATTTCAAAAATGTTGAAAAGACATGAATATTATTAATATTATTGGACTAGAATTAGAAACATTTCAAATTTTGATAGGAAATACTAGACTAGCTTGAGTAACTCCAGCTTCAATGCTCATCGCATTTAGAGCTGTAAAAAAACAGATTGTAAGAGGCCCGAAATTCGGGATCGTATATCCCCCAGTGTATTCCAAAACAGTCCACTTTCCCTCTATTTTCCCAACCCAGTTTCCATAATCCATACCACAATCTGGGTTGGGAATAGTCTGAGTAACTTGGACCCAACTTATCACCTTTTTAACATTCGGACATGGTCTGGCGATAGTAGGGAGCAAGCTAAACCGCATCAGTCAGTCGACACAGTCGGTTTTGTCCTTGACCCGAAAACCCAACGTTGCCCAACAAAAACATCAGATTTCACCCTCAAAATGACCTAGGCCCTACAACTTACTAGATACGCCACCTGAGATACAAGTAGACATCGATGATTAAGATGTTTGTACTCTACTTACAATCCGCATTGAAGTGAAATTTCCCGTTCAATTCCGAGAGCTCCCCATACCGTTAAGTGTACCTTCCTCCCGGTGTGATACTGGCGCTACCTAAACAAGTGAGTTGACATTCGGGGGCGAGTTGGTATTGTGGGGCGAGGTTATGTTCAGCATGTGTGTGACACTGACTGACACATGCATGACCGAGTTGCTGCAGTGGCCAGCGCAGCGGTTTAGGGGCTTAAGCGCACTGGCAATGGCATGACTAGACACAAGTAATTAAAAATATATTGCCACTACAAATACTATAATCTTAGCTTTATACTCACCTAAAAATCTATCACAAAGTAACTCTGTTCAGGAAATGAATGCTGTGCATTTATGATGTTTTGTTCCTTTTCCGTCAAGACAGATGGGAGTGAATTTTTCTGTATTGGAAATTAATTAAGAATGGCCCCGCAACCATGAATTGATTTTCCAATTGAATTGACACTAGATAAAGTTGGGTATCAGACGGGAACCGGCGGGATTAATTTTGGAGAGCGCCCTCTTTTGATGACATGATGATTATTCTTGTTGCTCGGACTCCACAAACAGCATTCCATTGCAATCTTTGCTGAGATTGTTCATGTTTGTGGATCATTTGTGGGCAAGATACAGCCATGGATGATGAATTCGACATACCCGAAAGAGGTACTCTTTCTTGAAAATAACATATTCATTCAATTCCCTTGATTATGTTGTCGTGCATTAACGTTTTATTATTAACATAATAACAATGTGGTAGGCCTATGTACCGGTACATGTCGTGTATGTTGTGTTTTGTTTTTTTACCATG